CACAGCACCGGGCCTTCGGCCATTACAGAAGATGAGCTTGCCGAACGGAAAGCTCTTAGAGCTCGTTTCTTGGCTCCACAAAAATTCTGTTGGACGACCGCCTCCGGAAGGGGATCTGCTGCCATCCCGCAATGAGAGTGTGCATCTCTTGGATGAAGTCCACCAATTCCTTGTTGCCCTGTCCGGTGGCAAGGAAACGCGCTCGCACGCGATATGCCTAATTAGGCGGCGAGAACACTCGTGAGAGCTGCTATTTCAGCTCCGCCCAGGAGGGAAACGGAGCTTCGACCGGAGTGCCGCACGTCAGTGCCCATTCTCGCGCTCGACCAGCGAACTTTGAGATGGCTAGCGCTACGCGCTGCTACTCGGTCTGGAGCATGGCGGATGCGATGGCTATCTCGACCTCTCTCACCCAGAGCAGGATATTCTCTCCATCCTTCCCCTCAAAGGCCTTAACGCTCGCCATGAGCGGCTTCGGGCGGGGAAAGTCATTCGTCACTGACGGTGGCGTCATAGACGTAAATGATGCAGACATCTTCTGCTGCAGGTGCTCTAGCAGCGCAATTTCGTAATTTGAAAACGCTTCTAGACGCGCACCCAAGCCTCGGGGCCTTGCACAGCAAGGTGTTGCGCGCCCTCAGGGCCAAGCAAGAACATCAACTTTTTAAGCCCGTCCTGCATGCCCTGGGGCAAAGAGGACAATTGTTCCATTCTCACAGAGCGTCAGTCGTAACGACTCCGATGTAGATTGACTACAAGTGCTACCAAGTGCAGCGGGGCTGCTGTAGCTCTGCGCTTAGAATAAGCTTAATTTAGGTCACCGACCTTACGTTCTTCACAAGAACCAGTACGAGGTTAGCAGATCGCAATCCGCTACCTCCAAGAGTAGTTAGAACTTGAACCCAAGGCTAATTAACTCTTCTGTTCTAAATGTAAACTGTATTTATCTGTTTAATCTGCGGCAAAGGCATCTAATTCTAAATGTATAGATTTTCCTGATATAGTACAATCTAAATACATGCATAAATACTGGCAACCCAGCACGTACCGTATTCTTATTTGGGTGCAGTCATACCATACCCATCTCGTGTGACACACACCACTGTTACCAGGGTACGTGTAGCCCCGTTAGAGTGCAAATGACCTCAATGCCTGAATCATCCATTACGACTGCTTCTCCTCTGGTAACAATCGTACTGTTTAATGACTCGGAATTATTTGCATACATTCCTCAGAGATAACTCGAACATCTCAATAATAGATATCTTTAGGGGTAGTAAAGAATGACAAACAATTTGTTAGGACACCCAGTCAAATCTGTCATTCTGTACACGAGTAGAAATTCTTTCTCGCCAGTTACCAGTGATACGGGTAGGCTAAATCAACGATAGTCGGTACCACTAAATCGTGCCAAAGTTTATTAATAATTTTATTAGTTTTTGCAAGCTTCGGGGCTAAGTCCTTTCTGCTTCTGCCTTACAGGTGCTTCCAACTTCACTCGCTTTGGCAACAGGACACCAGCTCTGACACGGGAGACACCTTCTTACAGATGCTGTTTACCGCCCCACCAGAGATAAACTCCGAGACTAAAACATCCGTCGTACATTCCTGCCACAGCACAACTTAAATTCGAAGGCCGCGGCCCGCTATCGCTTCTACCTTTCGAACTCGGCTTCAGGCACTTAGCAATAACATTGCTCGACAATGTAAGTAAATGCATACCCTGCTCAGAAGCTGTCGTATCTATCGTAGCTTTGTGTCCGCATCAAACATGTTTCTGCTTTCTGGAAGAGGGAAGTTTGTGACCACCAAAGCTCTGTCATGAGAAAAGCGCGTGGTACCAAACGTTTTTGACTCCAATTGATCCGTGACTAGTGGCATTCAAGCCACAATACACCTAAGACACAATCATACCTCGAATCTATTTTCAGCACGAGTAACGTTTTACGCCGTCAAAGTCTTCAAACTTTAACTGAATTTTCAACAGATGTTTTGACACATGGGTCGTGTTCTCGTCTCAAGACACGTCGGTACCGTATCCGTCTTCGCAATCGTCAATGTCGTTGACGTTTTTGATGAGTGCGCGTCATGTCATTACGCACGACGCGCTTAAACCGTTTAGGCGAATTCCAGAGCTTTGCAAAGCTTAAGGCATTGACTTGAACAGCAACTTTATCGAGGTTGAGAGCCTCAGCTCTTTTCCCAGTAAGCGCAGGGTAGTATACAGGTGCTCGAATTTCTGTTCGCCGAACGACCCTGCGTGAGTGCTCGAACCTTTGTACCTCTCAGACGAAATTGAAGATAGTACGCAAGACGCAGGTTAGTTGTTTGCCAACGATAATACGTTCATCGGGTACTGCAAAGCTGCTCGGCAGCCAAGGAACCTCTCTCTCTTGCTCCTCAGCATGACTGATAGCTATCACATCTGCGCGTTCATCGAGCATCGAGCATCGACTTTTCGACTTTTCGACTTTTCGACTTTTCGACTTTCTTAAGTCAAAAAGAGGAATCGGACATAAGCTGTACTCCATATTCAATGCGCGTCCTCAAAAGAGGAAGTGTAGGCGCGAAAGGTCTCGGTACAAGCCGCACCCTTTTGGAGCCCCTTCCTGGAGTCGGAAAGCATTATCGAAAGCGAGTTTGGTGCTATTGCGGTGATGAGAGTATTTATTTCTTAGCCATACTTCGCTAATTTTCGCCTCCTTTGACGTGTGGACTGGGAAAACCGGATGCAACCTGTACGTTGGTTCGACATCAGTCACTTCAAATCTTCATAAGTTACAGGCATCTCTTCAACATAAGTTACAGGCATCTCTTCAACAGAGGAACTGCGCGTTAGTATCCATCAATGCGCGCGTCCTCCTGGATGGAAACCGCAGACTCGACATGCTGTTACCCTGTTTGGAGCATGACCAATTTTGAGCAACTCAACTTTACCTATCTACACAGAGAAGTTTTCTCCGTCTCTGCCCTCAGAAATTAGAATCTCAGCGTTTGCGCCTCGCGGTAGGAGGTGGTTGTGTACGACGACGATTAGTTGATGTCTTTCAGAAGATATCTCGCCATGCATTCTCATAGCAGGTGGACACCTTCAGGCGAGCGATATCCGCTTCTGGCCATTGGCCTATCATTTACGCTATCGCCGCGTGACCAACTCAAGACTTAAGCTTATTTATCGTTTTCTCTTACATATATTGACTTCCGTCCTCATAAAGGAATTGGTTGAATCAAGGTTCGGTCGTCGGATTGACTACGAGTGCGACAGGTGCAGCGGAGTTGCCATGCTGGGAGTTTTTTGACGTAATGAGATCGCGTTAACAACGTACCGATGATAGATTCGTACTTTCTACCGAAGTGAAGAATCAAGAGCCTCTTAGAACTACTTTGCTATTGCTTCGTTTTGAAAGAAAATTATTGTAGTGACAAGTATAGTTTAAACCAACGCTAAATATATATGTTTAACTATGATCCTTGATAAACTATACGTATTGTATACATGAGGCTTAAAGCACGGACCGGAGTTCCATCGTCATCACCAGTACAAGTTTTTTAGTGCCTCTGCACAAGATAAGCGTACAAAAATACAAGAAACACACCTTGTTACTTTACTGCTTGAGTCCTGCGTATCGAGCCGCTGATTTTGCGCAAAGAAATCTCACTTACATTTATGTCCTCGGCTGATGTGACATACACACTATTGTTTGCTGGAGTGATCACACACATTTTTAATCTCATCAAGTAAACGATTCGATGTCACGGGTACGCACAACGCTAACGTCAACTTTATGTCTTCTGATCACCATCATTCTTCTCGATATCAATCTTTAGCACTTCGACATGATGCTACACTTAAGTTCTAAAGCGCTCGAACTTGTGCTATTGCAAGCTTCACGGGCGCGAACTCTTGACATAGCAACGATAACAGAGCGAAGCCCATCCAGTCTACGATCTCCCGCTCACATTCGGATAGCAGTAGAGAATGTTCTATTCGCTGAAGCCGGCTCAGACCAAAAGACCAGATCACTCATCATGGCTGTGTGAATGGCTACAAGTGCTATCAGGTGTAATAGGCGCACGTTTTGACACCACAAAACGATTAGCGTGTGCGTAGCCGGCAGAATAGACTCTGTTTGATTGTTGTGTGGTACGTTTTACAATCTTAAGACCTCGTATTAACCTAGTAAAAAAATCTTTTGATAACTTTGCAACGAAATTCTGGGTTTGACTCAGATTGCTAGCCTTACAGCGGCCAGCTGATAACACCAGAAACGTGATATTCTGTATCCTCTCGCCAAACGTTAGCAAACACTCCTTCGACGCCTCGCTGGCAACTTTGACTTTTTGGCTTTCGAGGCGTAGGATTTACAATATTCTGCTCTTGCATTATTTTTTCTATTAGATAATGATTTATGTACAATTCGAACGTGCGTCACACAAAGACGATCCTTGCAACTTCACGACTGCCCACATCGACACGTGGATGTTAAACAGCGCTTGAAATTTACATTTCTAGCATCTCTGATGGCTCCTAAGAATCCCCGCATTATCGCTCTCTTTGACGTAGATGGCACGCTCACAGTAGCGCGCAAGACTGCGACGCATGAGATGCTGATGCGCTTGAAGAAATTGCGTGAGAACATAACAACAGGCGTTGTGGGTGGCTCCGATTTGGTAAAACAAAAGGAACAGTTGGGCGAAGATGGTGCGTTTAAGGACAATCGGGTCATTAACGAAGAGTTTTTAACGCGAAATGATCGCAGTAATCAACAATTTTGACTACAGCTTTTCAGAGAACGGTCTCGTGGCTTACCACAACGGAAAACTGGTTGGCGAGACAGTATGTGCAACGAACATGTGAATGAACTTGAGTCAACTATTCCACTGACATATTCATAATATACATATGTATATTTTAGGACCTCAAAAGTCAGTTCACGAATATGCAGATTAATACTCTAGTCAACTTCTGCTTGCGGTACATCGCAGACCTAGATATCCCTGTGAAGCGCGGCACATTTATCGAATTTCGTATGGGCATGATTAATGTGTCACCAATCGGTCGCAACTGTTCGCAGGATGAGCGCGATGAATTTGAAAAATATGATCACATCCATAAGATTCGCGAGACTTTTGTAGAAAAGCTCCGTGCAGAGTTTTCCGACTATAACCTCACTTTTTCAATTGGTGGTCAGGTAGGCTTTGCGTTAATCTGCATGTGATCGTTTTTATCGATTGACCTTTTTGTATGTTGTCTATCTTGTGACAGATCTCGTTCGACGTGTTTCCGACGGTAATTTTTTTTATCAAAGTTGATGATTGTAAGGAATCCCATTCTATTCGATTGAACTGGCAGGGTTGGGACAAAACGTTTTGCCTGCGGTATTTGGACGCAAAAGACTATGATGAGATACATTTTTTTGGTGACAAGACTCACAAGGTCAGCTCTCATTGTAATCTTGCAATAGCTTACAAAGTTAGGTGCCGAACTGAAAGAAACGTGTCGTTGATTGACAGGGTGGAAATGATTACGAGATCTACACGAGTGAGCGCACCATCGGTCACTCGATAAAGCACCCAGAGGAGACAATTCAACTCTTAGACCAGCTCTTTCCCTAAAACAAACTTTTCGACAAGGAATATCGCTATCTGGTAGCCGCTTTGTTTGACGTCGTTGTTATCTTTTAACAGTGCTATGTACCTGTTCGTCAATCAGCACATCGCTACCCAACACTTTTGCCATGGGGTCATCATCGCGTGACTTGAGCAGTTTGTAGGCCTCCATCTCTTCGGCATTTACCTGATAATTGCCCATTGAATTATACTTGCGCTTTTTGTCAGCGTATTTTACTTGTTCTCTCTTCTCTTTAGTTGCCTTTTTGATCGCGTGCTTAAGCTTCTTTTCGTCCAAATCTGGGGCAACATTCTCGCCGTACATGTCGCTGCGCTTTTGAATAACGTTGCTTGTCTGAGAGGCAACAAATTTGTCGGATTTTTCTCGATCAGACTTCTCCAAGACTTTTAACATCGGTCGTTCTGTGTTGACCGATTTCGCTTCTTTGAGTGCCTTTATTCCATCTTCGCCTGTACAATACGAATTACGAACCTTAGAGTGACAGCAGGCATACCCCCACATCATGTCACTGCGATCAAACCAAGAACCCCAAATCTTCGTATGGTTGTTTTCAAAAGCGTCTTCAATATATTTGGAGCGAACCAGAGCTCGTTCACGACCCTTGATGACACGGCCGTCGCTTGAGTACTCGACATAATGTTCGCTTTGCGCCAACAATAGCTCCTTGGGTGGAGCTTCCAAATGCTGCTGACCACCATATTTTGCAAGAATTTTGCTGCTTTTTTCTTTCTCCAAAGCAGCCTTTCGTTTTTCGTACTGCTTCTTAAGAAATTCAGCCTGCGAAGGATTTGCAATGGGGTGAATGTCCGTACCCTTAGCATAGGCTTCCCAAGCAAAGAGCTGGGCAGAAGCTAGTTTTTGCGCATCACCCGTGAATCGTGTCATATTATCACCGACATATGTCGTGTCTTCTGGATTTAATTCTGGATTGGGATTGTCACGCATTGACCGCGTCTTCGGATCATAATAGGCAGAATTAGGGTTGAGATTGCGCAGATACTTGGCTGTGTCCTCTCGGATACGCAAATTGCGCACCGTGGTTTTCATCTGAGCACCGCCGACACCACCCTGACGAGCAACACGCTCAGTAAACATCAGACCTTCGTCATGATCACGAAACTCTTCGTCTTGTGATTCCATGTCTGACTCATAGTCCGAGTCTGAATCCAATTCCGAATTTCCCTCTTCCTTGTTTTGATTTTTCAATTCTGCTTTCTTATCCTTTTTCTTATCCGCTGACTCTTGCAGCTTTTTATTAATTTCATCCGCACGTAACTTCTTGCGAGCTGCATCGACCTTTTCATATCGCTCAATAGTTTTAATGTGTTCCATAGGATTGTAGCCTAACCATTTGTCTCGTTTAGCGTCAAATGCAAGCTTGCCATACTTTTCAGATCGCACGTCTACAACCACTTCATCATTTTTTAAATCCTTGTTGGTTTTCC